TGTTGCACGGCTAGGATAAAAAATCGTAATTGCATGCTGTTAATTATTACAAACTTCTGATACACATTACGGTGATCTAACAGATAATTTAATACGCGAGATAGGCAAAACAATTCCGTAATTAACTTAACTGTAAAATAATTTGATCGCTTAAATTACCCTTAGCCAATTTCTCTCGCTCGGTATGATAATTTAAATAGAAACAGTCCAGGGGTTGGTAAATAACTGACACAACTTATTTAAAATAACAAATATAAAATAAATTTTAGAAACTTATTTAAAATAAAATATCGCAGGAGCCAGTAAAAAATTTATTCAACTTATTTAAAATGAGAAATATAAAATATATTTTCCAGAAACGTATTTAAAATATTAAATAAGAAATAGATTAAAAGAAGCTTTAAAATAATAAATACTAAATAATTCTTTTACTTTTTTTATTTAAAATATATATTTTAAATAATAATATTATAAATACGACCGAAACCTGGATAACACGTTATAACAAATCTTTCCCTTTGTTCATTCTGACGATATGTTATTATATTGTATATATTAAGACGATCTTTGTATGATATCAGCTTTAACATATAACATGCATTTATATGTATATACTTGTATTAAAATCTTTACTTTAAAAAATATAGATATATAATTAATATATATATTAATATATATATAATTAAAAAATATATATATAATTAATTTATGTAATATGAAGTTTTGCGTGAAATAGAAAGAAAAAGAAAGACGAATAAGAAAGAAAAATGTGGCATATATGTATAATACACGATTAGTACGGACACGAACCACGTTCTAACTACGATTTGATCGATTAGAAAGTATAGTGCGCAAGGGCACTTTTAGCACTTTTAGCGTTACAGCCAAAAGGCCGGCATGTCCGCTCTCGGATCCTCTCTGGTCTAGACTCTAGCAGAGAGAAGCTAGACACACAAGCTAGCTCTGACTCTAGACTCTAGAGTTGAGTTTTGACGTGATGGCGCTTTAGTCACTGGTCACATCGAGACATTCGTGACGGACAAGTGTTTACGACGCTGTCGAAATCAAGAAAATAAATAAATTGAAGTTTTAATTAATATTCCACTTAACATGCCGATCTTGGACAAGAGAAAAGGGGACGATATTCTGGCGTTGGTCCCCGCTTCGAAGAGGACCAAGAATGAGGTCGTCTTCAGCAGCAGAGAGAAGGCGGTTGTGCAGAGCGTAAGTATAACCTCAATCAAACGGCGTATCTCTTGGAAAGCGTAACGTTTGTATTTAACATTTATTAACAATTTTTAAGGGCCCACCACGAACGTCCTCCCTAATGTCGATGATAATGCTGCTCGAAGGGCACCAGGGAGATATCTTCTCCATAGAATTTCACCCGGAGGGACAGTATCTTGCGTCTACGGGATTCGATCGACAGATCTGTACGTTTTGCGCAAAGGCTTGGCCGCATTGACATGTTTTGCGTGTGAATTTTAGTTTTATTTATTTATATTTATTATTTATTTATTTTTATCATTGTTCTTTTTTTATTTATTTATCTATTTATTTATCTCTATACATGCCTATCTATTTATTTCTTTTTTATCTATTTATCTCTATCGTTATTTTTATTCTAATGAAGCGTCACGTCTTTGCAGTCATCTGGAATGTTTACGGCGAATGCGAGAACATTGGCATCATGACTGGACACAGCGGCGCTGTGATGGAGCTGCACTTCAGTCCGGACGGCAATCACCTGTACACGGCCAGCACGGACATGACGCTGGGTTTGTGGGACATAGTAGCTGGCACGCGAATTAAGAAGCTGAAGGGCCACACCTCGTTCGTAAATTCTGTATCAGGTGCGCGGAGGGGACCTACGCTGCTCTGCTCGGGCAGCGACGACAGCACGATTCGTGTCTGGGATCCGAGGAAACGGGGTCAGTGCTACACGTTGAACAACACGTATCAGGTACCGTAGAAGTAAAAGGGGATTTGTGTTAAATAATACGAATGAAGTGGCGTCTAGGGCTGTTACTTTTTACTCACCTCGAATGTTAGCAGCTTCGATGTTAACCTCGACCTCTCGAAGTTTAAAGTGCCTTCGAAGCTTCGAAGTTTTGAAAAATACATTAAAAATTTGAATTTTCTTAATTGGATTGTTTTATTGATCATTATCTTTCGTTATTTACACATGTATTAAGTTTAATTATTAATTTGTAATATTTTAGGTTATAATACTTTCAAATTTTTTAAGAATAATTTCGTATGTATATTAATTCTTTTTTTTATTTACAATGTTTGTAAATTTTCTGAATAAATTTATCATTTGCACAATTTGTATTTTTCGAAACTTCAAGTCTTCGAAACCTTCGAAGCAAATCATCAGCCCTAGTGGCATCTACAATGAGATTTAAGACTTTTAAGATTTAAAAAAATTAACCAATCATAGGGTAACTGTCCCTATTAATGTGCCCTGAACCTATTAGTGTGCTTTTATATTTATAGAAGTCATAAAAGTAAACTGGTACAAATATATAGACAGATCGGAAGAGCACACGTCTGA